CATCATCATCTACCTCATCATCTTCCTTCTCATCAGCCGCATCATCCTCATCGTCCTCATTCCTATCTTAATCACCATAATCATAATCATCATTACCATCATCCTCATTATGATCATCATCATCATCGTCATCATTACCATTATCATTTTCATCATTATCCTCTTCATCATCAGTCACTACCATCATCATGTGGATGATGAAGATGAGGGTGACAAGAATGAAGATAAGGACAAGGGTGAGGATGAAAGGGATGATTCTCATCATCATCATCATTCTCATCAATCATTTTCTATCATTCTCATCACCATCATCACAATCATTATCATCAACAACCATTATCATCAATCGTAATCACCATCATCTTCCTCACCATCATCCTCATCATCTTTCTTCTCCTCATCATCATCAACATCCTCCTTATAATGGGGAATATAATGAGGATGGAGATGACAATAAGGAAGATGATAATAATAATAATAATAATAATAATAATAATAATAATAATAATAATAATAATAATAATAATAATAATAATAATAATAATAATAATGACATCAGTATATTAAGAATAACAGTACTAACGCTAATATTAACGTGAATTATAAATTATAAATTTTTTAAACGCATAAGAATAATGATATACTATATTAATAATATTATAGAGTAACAACATAATAGTATACTAATGATGATGAAGAAAAATGTAGTGTAGAAAGATTAAATTTAAATAGGTAAACATTTCCCTTAATTTTGATTGTCGTAGTTTTGGAATTCGGTGTGTTGACGTCATCATTCCAAATTTGCTTGGGAGGTGGGGAATTCCCGTCTGACAGGCCTAGACTCCCATCGTCCGATGCCACGACAAGGTTGCCACACCACAAATAATGATTTGCTTATCCATATAACATTATTTTGATTGCCAAGCCCTAATATTTTGGCTTAAAAGCAAAATTTTGGGCCATACAAAGCTAAAAAGAAACTCTCCCATAAGCCCAGGGAAGTTTATTCCGGGACTCTGACCGAGGGTCTAGTCGGCCCGGTGTTTGGACCCACCCTATCTGACCCCCTGGAGCCACCATTGAACGACTATAATGGGTAAGTATTTAACTAAGGTCCTGTCAG